GAGTCTCACTTTATCCCCCTCAGTAGAGTGCCACGGCATCACAGCTTGCAGCAACCTCCAGCTCTTGGGCTTAGCCAATTCTCTTGCCTCAGCCTCCCAAGTAGCTCGGACTACAGGCACCTGCCACAGCACAGGCTATTTTTTTGTTGCAGTTTGGCTGGGGCCAGGTTCGAACCCGAGTATATGGGGCTGGTGCCCTACTCACTGAGCCACAGGCACCACCCTCTGTGCAGGTTTTGTACTTTATTTAGGCTGCAACAGAAGATTTTATTTATTTATTTTGAGACGTAGTCTCACTACATGGCCCTCAGTAGAGTGCTGTTGCATCACAGCTCACAGCAACATCAAACTCTTGGGCTCAAGTGATTCTCTTGTCTCTGCCTCCCAAGTAGCTGGGACTACAGGTGCCTGCCACAATGTCTGGCTATTTTTTGTTGCAGTTGTCATTGATGTTTAGTTGGCCTGGACCAGGTTCGAACCCGCCACCCTCACTGCATGTGGTCGGTGCCATAACCACTGTGCTATGGGTGCCACTAGATTTTCTTTACTAGGAAGAGTTACTCACCTTGGGCACTCTTGCGAACGGAACATGGGGAAGCGCTGTCTTCAACAACTTTCAAAATAAATGTCATGAAGGTGGACTGAACCTGGTAAACTTAGTATGCACAGATGGTGCACCTTCCACGAAAAGAAAGCACAAAGGGTTTATTGCACAGACAAAAATAAGTATTAACAGATCCAGATGCTCTCATTTCTTCCCCTTGTACCTTGCATCAGCAAAATCTCTGTGCTAAAGCTACTATTTTAAGTGATACTTCGCAAAAATTTATAAGTATCATTAACTATATTCCAGCATATGCAGCACCATCTGTCAGTTTCATCAGTTTTGTCAGTTTCATCACATGCTAAAGTTGAAGGATAAGGTATTCAGTGTGGCTCTGCCTTATCATTTTAAAGCACATTGGCTATCACCAGGGACAGGTGTCAGCCAACATTTTGTCTCTGCAAGAATGGTTTAATTTTCTGAAGAATAGAATCAGCGATGTGAATTACCGAAAGATTTTGTATAGGACTGCAACATTTCTGTGTTATACCATGTCAAATCAAAACAACTTGAATATTTCTTTGCCAGGCAAAATAAAGTCTATAGTGGCAAAAAAAAAAAAAAAATCAATCTTTTTTCAAAACATTTCTTCAAAAGGAATGTTTAGATAAACTTTGTCCCCAGGGAGCAAAGGTCACTGATGAGCAGGATGATATATGCAAGTCATCTGGAGAATCCACAGCTGTTCTAGACCTAGCAACTGAAGAACACAATGACAGGCTCACTGACTCTGAGAATCATGACGTCACAATCAAATCAGCTTTCAGGCTCACCTAGTTAATATCACCAGTGCACCAAAAGAACCACAGATGGAAATGATTGAGTTCTCAGTAGTCATTATTTGATAGGAAAGATCCAGTTAGAATATGGAAAAATGCAGAATACCCAGATCTTCAGAAACATGCCCCCAAAATCTTTCTTGCTTTTCAACTATTGCTGCAAATTGGCATTCTCCTATGTAACCCAAATGAAGATGACTTTAAGGTCACAAGTGACCTTTGCCCATCAAGAAGATCAGCTGAAACTGTGGCCCTCCACGCTGCAACCAAATATTCAAATACTTCGGGGGCGGCGCCTGTGGCTCAGTGAGTAGGGTGCCAGCCCCACATACAGAGGGTGGCAGATTCGAACCCGGCCCCGGCCAAACTGCAACAAAAACTAGCTGGGCATTGTGGCAGGTGCCTATAGTCTCAGCTACTCGGGAGGCTGAG